CAATGAGTGTATGTCTCTTACTTTGGGTTATCCTTGATGTTCCTCATCAAGAAACCAAAAAATAAGTTTGAAAATTGATCAGCTATATAAATCTTCCTAGAGGAGCTCTGGTAGCATAGTGGTTACAAATCAGGCTGCTAACCTCAAAGTCAGCAGTTCAAAACTACCATACTTTCTGTGGGAGAAGGATGAGGCTTTCTGCTCCTGTAAATATTTACAACCTTGGTGGTGCTGTGGGTTACACATTGGGATGCTAACCATAAGGTTGGCAGTTCAAACCCATCAGCCACTTTACAGGAGAAAGATGAGGCTTTCGCTTCTATAAAGAGTTACAGTCTCAAATCTATATAGGTTGGCCATCAATTAGAACCATTTCGATGGCAGTGAGTGTGGTTTGGCTTTCATTATAAGTTCATTGCTCCTATTAAGAGTTTGAAAACAGCTCCATTTCTCCTTTCACATGGAGCAGCAATGTGAGTAGTTCAGTAGTCTTTGTCCATGTGTAGGAATGCCCCGATCCTATGCCACAGTTAAAGTGCATGTGACGTCATCTGTTTTCTCTTGCTTAGTGTTAGCCTAAACATGAGGTTTTAGCACATGCAATCATTCTACTTTGTTGTTGCTGCTATTAAGTGATGTCGAGTCAGTTCCAACCCACAGCGACCTAGTACAGAGGTTCTGAGGAGCAGCTGGAGAGCTTGAGCCATTGACCTTGTGGTTCAAACCAAGTTTGCCATCCAGCACATTAACCCACAGCACCACACCAGGACTCCATTCTGCTTAGATGGAGCCAAAGTTGCAGCCGTGGAGTTATTCCTCTGGAATATCCTCATTAGAGTCCGGGCTTCTGAAGGCCAGGCAGAGTATAAATAAAGTATGTCCAGTTTTCTCCAGAGGCATGAAGCCCCAGCACTTGTTTGCATTCTTACATTGTGTCTCTTGTCTCCATGCAAAGGGAATCTGTAAGTAGGAAGAATGATGGGGCTGGGGAGTGGGGGGCAGTTAAAGGGAAAGCAATGTAGTGTAGTTCAGGTTCTGGTGTGTGGCAAGATCATAAGCACATGGAAGCATCCAGAATGCCTTTCAGAGGTTATGAGCTCTATCTACTTACCCTGTTGTCATTAAAACCTCAAATGTGCTATTTAACCTTAATACATCGGCTGCATTATAATGTCACAGGTAGTGAGTGCATAGGAAGCAGGACAAAACAATGCTCCTTGATAGACATGAGAGAAAACTGTTATTTTGGTATTTCCAAGTAATGCATTTCCTGCACTCCTAATTAGTGTGACGAGAAAACTCACGGCCAAGAAATTGTGTGGTATTTGCTTAAGCTGCGTTCTAAAATTGCACGGCTTTGGAGAGTTCACACAACTGTTTATTTTATGCACACGGAGACAGTCCAGTGCCAGCAGAGCAGAAACGATGGTGCGAATTGTTATTCAGATATAATTAAACGTAGGTGGTATTCAAGTCCATTAAGCAACAGCCTCCAAGCCTTTTAATTAATGGGTTCAAATTGGTTGGTCTGAAGGAGCTAATTAAAATTTGTTCCCAAGATTTTCTATTTAAATAAATGTATTGTGCTTCTTGCTTTTCCTTCGGGCTTCTTCGTTACAGTTTGGAGGTAATGAAGGTATCACTGCTTCAGGGCAGGCCCTTCTCTTCAGAGGTCAGGAAACAGTGGGAGCTCCAGGTCTCTTGGGAAACCTGCTGAGACCCCAGCTGCATCGTCAAAAAGATCTGGCAGCCCTGTGATTTCATAGTCCAACTGTGATCTGGTGGAAGTCCCCTGGTGTCCCCTCCCCGGAGTCTGATGGGGAGGACAGCTCACAGGCCTTTGAGCCAGACTCTGAGGACTGAGACTTTCACTGTTTCTTTCCATTTCTTCAGTGAGTTCCAGGTACACCCACCCCCACCCCTGAACCATACACAAACCCCCTACACTCCTAAGTTCTTGCTGATAATTTCACTATTATAGAGTTATTTATTTATTTATAGTTATAAAATATATATAGTTATTTATAATTATAAAATGGAGCCCGGGTGTGGTGCCGTAGTAGAATGCACTAGACCACAAGGTTGGTTTGAACCGCAGAGTCAGCGGGTCAGAGTCACCAGTGCTCCTCGGAAACCCTATACAGCGTTGCTATGAGCTGGAACTGACTGGGTGGCACTTAGCAGTAACAATAACTATATAATAAGAATGAGATCCAGACCACCACTTACCACTCTGAAAGGATCCCATAGGAGGTTCTGGGTAGATAGAGTGGGGGAAGAATGTGAAACAAAACTCAAAAGCCATAAAAAAAAGACTGGGCTTACTGGTCTGATAGAGATTGGTGGAACCCCATAGTCACCCTTCACACTTGGAACTGAATTCACCCCATAGCTCAACTTCCAGCCAAATGATAGGCCGATAAGGTGACAGTGATAGGAGGGAGGTAGGCACACATCCCTTAGAACAAACGACCATCTGAGATCAAAAGGGCAGCACTTGTCCTGGGATATGAAACTCAGGAAGGAAGGGATAGGACAGACAGACAGACAAGCCGGAAGTTGTAAACATAAGTGCAAAGAATGCTGTTATGTTGTGGGAACTGCAGTCAGTGTCACAGAAAAAACCATGTACGGATTGTTAAATAGAAAGCCAGTTTGTTGTGTACGTTTTCACTCTCTTCACAGTAAAAAGTTTTTTTTAAAAATTAAGTGAATGAGATCCAGGAGGAGCAGGCTCCAAGTGGATGTGGCGATCTCCCGTATATCCTACAGTTTCCAGGCTCCTAAAACTGCTTCCTGCCAGATCCTGTTCCTGGTCTCCAGTAGAAATGAACCAGAGTGTCCCCAGTGGGAAAGATGGCTAAGGGCTTGTCTACTAACAGAAATACGAGTGGTTTGAATCTCCCCAGAGGCACCTCTAAAGAAAGGACTGGTGAACTACTTCCAAAAAATCAGCCATTGAAAATCCTAGGTGCAGAGTCAGACTGTGTCACACATGGGGTAGCCGTGAGTCAGAATCCATCAAAGGCAACTGTGTTTTCTGGTAGCAGTGTTAGTAGCTAAGTCCATGGTACACTGAGCTGCTAATTGTAACCGTGGAGGTCTCAAGTCATCCGAGAAGTGTCTCAGAAGAAAATCTGGCGATCTACTTCTAAAAAACCAGCCATTTGAAACGCACTTCTATTCTGACACCTATGGGTAAGAGTTCAAACCCACTCGAAGGCACTTGACAACAATCTTGGGAGAAATACAGCCAGGATGTTCCTTAGAAGGAAGAATAGTAATGCCTCATCTCAAGTACTTTGGACATGTTGTCAGGTAGGACCAGGCCCTGGAGAAAGAGCATCATACTTAAAAAAGTAGAGTCAGCAAAAACAGAGGAAGACCCTCAACAAGATGGACTGACACCATGGCTACACCAGTGGGTTGAAACATAGTGATGGAATGATTTCATTCTGTTATACACAGGGTCACTATGAATTGTAACCAGCTGGATGGTATCTAACAATACCAGCAACTATCCCCTCTGAAATTCTTTGACAGCAAAGCCAGTAGTCTCAAGATTTGAGGAAATGAAAGTTTATCCTTA